GGCGCGTAAAATAATATTTTTTATTTACTCTGCAAGCGTGGGTCACGCATTCGGGCATATTATGACACATTTCAAGCGGCCAGAGAGGCGCGCAACCAGTTTGACATTTAATTTCGACGCTTTTTGCTTTATTTCGGATTATTCGTCTTCATTCATTGTTAAAACGCGTAAAACAAAAAATAATAAAAAAAAAAGTGTAAAAATTAAACTTAGAAAGAAAAAATTAATTTTTTTCAAGTTTTTTCTTTGTTAATTGATAAAATTTCAACGATGCTTGATTAAATCTGTTAAATTAACACTCGCATTAACATTATGCACAAATTTTACAATAATACTGATTATATTTATTAAGCAAGCATTACTGCACTCGTCTTTACTTGCACATCACCGCTGCAAATCGCCTAATTCCATAACGTCTGCTATAATTCCGTAATACCATAAGCCCTGCAATACAATATAATAAATACAAATCCACAACAGCGTCAACTTCATTAACCTCGCGCCGCCACACGATTGTGCTACTTGCGCGCGCGCGCCACGCTCACGTCTGCAGCCAGGCAACCCAACATGCACCGCGGAAAGCATAATAATCGTCCACAGCGACGCAACAACTACAACTACAACTATAAGAGCTCCAAAGCTCGAAACAGATGCACGCGATACAATTGCAAGCAAATGCAAACATCACCCACACACACACATATTTCCGCACACTGCGTTTAAATATGCGCTCGCGGAATCCGCCCGAATAATTGAAACTGACAATTCGAGATAAGGCATGTTTTCATGCGCTCCACGCGAATAATAACACTCACTCCGGCTACGGAATATGTGTATACTTGGTTGCCGACCATCGTCAGCGCGCCGGTTACTAATGCTAATTACTTTAGCGAACAAAACGAACACATCCTAATGACCATTGTGCACCACTATGAGGGGGCCAAGTCAGCCTGGAAGCGGTGGTGAAAGGGATGACGACACGTCTCGGCCTGGCCTGGCGGGGACAACGCGCGCGTTGAATTTTAAACGACCGGGGGGAAACTAGCGACAAACGAATTCGCTTAATTGTCATCTGATGTCGCACGTGCCGGCACGATTTTACTTTTAGATTTTAGATTTCGAGAAAAACGCTGCGATAAGCACGTTTCCGAAAGCGGAAATCTGCTCTTACGATTTAAATTACTTTCAATTACTACTTTTATATATATTTCCTAAAACTAGTTACACTTAAGTAGCCTTAACTTCATGTTTACTCAAGATTCTCGAGCGCACAAAGCCAACACACATGTTATACCTTAATATTTACCCAAACATAACCTTAAACTCACACACTGCACTACGCTGGAGCGTTTATTAAATAAACACATGTTTTAGACGCCTTCAACCCTTCACATCGCATTATTTATTCAGCGTAATATAACCTAAGGGTGTTTAATTCATGTTGCGAATATTCTTGGTAATGTACAATGTGTTGCGGTGCTGCGCAACAAGCAAGAAGCAAATAAAACGGATTAATGTGTGATTTGCGCAGGCAACCAACCGAACAGCACATGAGCAATGTATTATAATGATCAAGCGTTGACATTTGACAACTGTAGGCAACCCGTAATACCGTAAGCAAACAAAAGACTATTATTGTCATAATATCACGTTAAAATACGATGGATTTTTTATTTGTCTTGTAAAGAAGATGATGAAAGCGAAACAAAAGCAAATATTTGAATGTGTGTATCATAAAATGGCAAACAGAACGACGATCCGAGCGAATTCGGCTTAGCAGCGTAAGTGGAGTGAAATAATCACCGGAAGCACGGCTCGCGATTTCGTTTTCTTATAATGGCAAACGAACGGTTTTACGACTGTGTCGCGCATGTTATTTATCTTTGCGTTTTGCAACCAAATAAAAATAAAATAAATCAAAGCCAAACGAAAACAAAACAAAACAAAAGAAAATTCTCGATAATTACATTTAAAAATTTAAAAATTTAAATTTTCGTCTTGATTGTTGATTGTTCCCTGCGTCCGTAGTCAATAAACGCACCTTTTTCGGGGTTTGAGCGTTCTGCGTGATGAGGTAAAGTTGCGTCCGTAGGCCGTAGTCCGATTATGGAATGGTTCCGGTTCATTAAAACACAATCGTCTTAAAATTAAAGACGGGCGTGATTTCATGCTCGAATTCGTCGTCGCGCCCTCTGATTCCCCCCTGATATTCCCGACGGAACAAGAACGTGAGTAATGAGCAAACGGCGAGGCGGAAAACCGGGGGCACGGCAGCAAACCGGTGAACAAAACGCGGCAATTAATTATAATTACGCGCAATGCAATTGACAATTGACATGCTAAACGTCAGTCACACCTTTTAATTCATATTTTGCTAATCACGAAAGTTGAAATTTTCAACAAAATGTATAAATTTTGTAAATATTGAGTTCGGTGTTCGGTGGATGTACCGCTAGTCAAAGTATAGGATTTTTTATGTTAGGTTTTGTTATAAATTATTTTTGCGGCGGTGTGTCACCAGCTGCTCGCTCGCTGTTCATGCTAGTTAAATAGTTTGCGCACGCCTGCTGCAGCATCCCCGCTTCGCTACATGCCTTTTGCGCGCTGGTGTTGATGTTCATAATGCGCACTTGGTTTGGTCGAAAAATGTGCGAGACGTCTGGTCATTAATCTTCGCGGGCGTTTAGAAAAATATTAGGCTTGAAATTCACTTCGGAAAATAACAAGAACCGAGAGAAGTGGAGTAATCAACTGCATTCTTTAGAAAATGGCAAAAAAGAAGAGAATATCCGTTGTTTTAAGTAAAATATAGTGTCGTTACATCGAGGAACAAAAATAATTAAATATTGAGTTTTATGTGGATATGCAACTGTTTAATCATTTGTAAGATGGTTATAAACTCAATTACTCTTGTAAAAATGCCAGTAAATATTTCCTGAAGTCTAAATATGAACTCCGCGTCGCTCAGTTGTATTCACTTATGTTTTGTATAAATGATTTTGTGTGTAACGCAACGTGCATCCCCAAAATTAGCTGAAAAATCATGCTTAAGTTATAGAAATTTGCATTGCAATTTTTAGGGATGTTGGGACCATAATTACAACAATATTTCAAATGTTATCATCGATGTCATGTCTTTAAACAAATATTCCCAAAAATAAGAAAATCTTGAGTTTGTACGCGGATTGGAAACTGTTTAATCTTTTTAAACTGGTTAAAAACTCAATTACTCTAGTAAAAATGCCGGTAAATATTTCCTGAAGTCTAAATATGAATTCCGCGTCGCTCAGTTGTATTCACTTGTGTTATGTTTAAATGATTTTCTAGTAACGCAACGTGCACCCCAACAAATTAGCTGAAAAATCGTGCTTAAGTTATAGAAATTTGCATTGCAATTTGTAGGGATGTTGGGATCATAATTACAACAATATTTCAAATGTTACCATCGATGTCATGTCTTTGAAAAAATATTCTAACTCATAATTACTAGAAACGAAAATATTTTTTGTCTTTAAACAAAAAAGCTGCGACGCTATACCGACGAAATTAATATAAACCAACCAAGTTGTACACCTATCATTGTTGTATGAAGATAAGTATATGTTTACCTGTATTATGCATTGGTGTATAAAATTCCACGTCTTCAACTTCTCCATCATCACTCTCACAGTCATTGCTGATGTCATTCTCATTGTTTTCTGAAAGAAAAACCGTCTTAATTCGACCACAATTGATTACTTTATGAATTAGAAAACTCACCGAAATAAGCCTCAATGCGTGCCTTGTCTTCTGGTTCGGACAACTTGCTAAAATCTATGAACAGCGGTGCTTTGCAGCCGAATGCATCGCGAGCCATTTTCGGCGGTTAACAAGTGTGTCGTCTTAACCCCAACAATCTTTGAGTTAGAAAACAGTTTCCTGTGTAATAAATATACCTTCGTGAGTGAGAGGAATTGGTCGATTCAATGTTGTAGCACACGTGGATTATTGCAAATGAGAGAATCGTTGCAAATATGCGGAATGCCGGAACCGTGTGTCGGTTGGCTTTTGCAGCAGTCGATGAGCGACAGGCGACGGTTACATGCTAGATTGAATTTGAACTGCACTGATGGTAGTAGGGATATTGTGTAGAAGAAGTTGCCTATATTGTAATAACAGTTTTATTTTACAAATTCAAAAGAAGTTAATAATTAAACAAAAAAAGCAAACCAAAATTAAACTATTTGATTTAAATTATAAATATATTTATTAAATACAATTATTTTTATGCATGTTATGCAGGTTATTTCCTCATTATTTTATATTAAATAATTTTAATAATTAATTTTGATTATTTAACTCGTTTAAACTGTTTGTTGCAATAGGATATTATTTCTGCAACTAATAATCAAAGTAATGTTTACTTAACTTACAAATGTTTGTATTACAATGGAATATTTAGGGCATGATTAAAAAAATAACTCAAATTTCAATTAAACAAATACCTTTCTTCAATTACTCGTCGAATATAAACAAATTCTTCTTATCTGTGCAGTATAAATAGACTTGAAACTTTTTTTTACCAACTGGTAGTGTCTCACTGCATGTTCATCCATCATGCCGACTACAATTTGTGCGGGAAAATTATGGATCTTCTTTTGTATTTTTTTCATTGCAATAATAATATTTTTTGGAGGAATTTATGTAGTCGATAAAATTAATTTACAATTAATGAAATTACAAATTTACGAAACTCAATTGGAACAATGCAGTCACGGTAAGCATACACGCAAAATATTTTTATTACATTTACATTTAAAATTAAATATAAATTGTGTTATTTTAGAACTGCAAATTTGTCAAAGGGAAGTACAAGCAGAATTACACGAAACACAAATGTAAAATCTTCATGAAAATGAACCAAAATAATGAAACAAGAAACTGTAATTTCACTTACTTACATTATCACTGCATTGATTATTACTCAAACGTTTTATAAATACTAATATGTAATGCGCTATCTTGTTTTTCTTTTAAATAAATGCAAAACGTTTAATTTTTATAAATACTTCTGTAATATGAGTTGCCTATATTACCTACATTTAAATACAACGAATTCAAATAATCAGATATGTACAACTGTCGTTGATGATGAATTCAAAGACAACGATCCACTCTCATTTGATTGTGTTGACCATCCATCGGTTGGTCCCATGTTAGTGCTACGTTTATGTACATCTTGCTGTAGTTTAGCAAACAATTCCGGATGGTTTTTAAAAACTCTCAGCAAATCCACTCGTGACAACAAACACATATCACACCAATGGATTGCAACAGCGGTGGCATTACGTACTTCATTCTCCATCACAATTAATTCCCCAAAGGAATTACCATCATTTAAATGACAAATCTAATAAAATATAAGCATATTAAATAAAAACGAGTGTATTTGGTTGCCTACCTCTTTCCCAGACTGCGTATATACTGCAACTATTCCACTGCGAATAAAAAACATAATATCAGCTTCACTTCCAGCTTGTACAATCACATCAGAAGGCATGTACAATTTGCTTGTTAAGCGACTAGTCAAATCCAGAATAATCTCCATTGGTAAATCATGAAAAATCGGAGACTTTTGTAACAGTTGCGAGTATAACGATGTGAGTAATTCTCTCTGCAACGACTTAGGCAACTCATTCAACAAGGCGGGTTCTTGAAACTTTGCGTGTGCGATTTTATACTGCATATAAACATGCATACGTTTGCGGATTGAAGCTGGAATGCGTTTTATTGCTGCATATCGATCCATTTGATTCAATATATCGATATATTTATACATTAAATGCGAAGCCACTCGCACCATACGAAATATAAACGCTGAAATTATTACAAATAGAATTTAATATAGGTTATGTAGAGTTTAAAGCTTAAATGTTTACTTACTTAAAAACACCAATTCTAATATAAATCCCAATGACAATTACTGCGCTGTCAAGTAAACATGGCTTCGTTCCAAGGTGATATGCGTATCCCATTTGATAGATGTTTGAAAATATGCGCATCATTTTATGCGTTTCGTAGTATTTTATTGAGTTAATGTGATTTGGGTTGTCCATAATGTAATACATGTGTGATATCCACAGAAATAGGATTATTATCGGTATTAAGAATCGGATAATGTTGCTTTTGAATCCATGCGATTGATGAGACTAGAAATATAAAATAAATATAATAGTAATACCGGTATTTATAAAATAATTAAATAAATTAATTAAGAATATTTTTAATTTTGTAAATATGCTAAATAAAAACATGCAAAGATAATTGATTAATTGCAGATTAATTCTTAAATTGATAAATGGATCAATCTTACAATGTTAATTGCCAGTGTCGAAGTATTTATTTGATATTTTCGGATTTGATGAATGTTTAGCATAATAGAAAACATTATTTCTGAAACTACCCAAGTTGAACCTTTTTTTTTGGTCTTTAAAGTTTAAAGTGACTGCTGTGTCGCAGATTTGGGAAGTTTTCATAATTACGACATTTGTTTTTAACTCATCTGTTTATCGATATTGCAATTGAGATATTGATATACCGGTATATATCACAAACAATATCCTATTGAAAAATATTGGTATTTTAAAGTAAAAATACCGGTATACCGGCATTAATACCGGTATTTTCCATTTTTCAGAAAAAATAAAATATACACGATCAATGTAATATATATTAAAATAGCCAACTGTCAGTATGTCAGTATATACTGCATACTAGCGCCATCTACTTAAAAACGACAGAATTAGTTCTAGAAAATTCCGCAGTTTATGTTTTTTGTAATTTTAAGACCACAAAACGAATCAAAAAACAATTTTTAAAGTATTTTTACTCTTGTCATTAACTAATCTATACTTCGTGCGAAAAATATTGATTTTTGATATAGATATCAGTATTTTACTAGGGTTGTATGTAGGCAACCCATATTGCATGTTATTATTTACAAAAATAAAACACTTACTGTTTTAATATCAAAAGCATAAGCCATCAGAGTATGCAACCTCAACAAAATTAAAAACTGTCCATATTTGACAAACGGAAATGTCAGAATTCTTGGTTTAAACAAACAATAACTCGGTGTTGATAACAAATCAACAATAAACCAAGTTTTTAAATATCTTGCAGCGATATATCCCCGATGACACACGATTTGTCTTGTATCTGAGCACTGATATCCACTGTTGAATGTCATTACAATATCCAGCACATTAAAAGTCGATAGAATATATCTTAAATATTGCAAATCGACGCTGAAGTAGCGATTAAGTGGCAATGCGAATGTGATACCAAAGATAATACACATCCAGAGCTCCCAAAAATTACGCAACATGCTGAATGGATGTATAACTTTGTTTTTCATCTGTAACTTGCGTACATTTTCCCGACGAATCATGTATTCCGATTTATATGTGCTCATACTACGTGAATCATTGCGCCAAATCAAAATGGAGGACCAGAGGAAGCGTCGGAGTTGAATACACCAACCACACGAACACATTCGACTAAATAATATAAAAATAAATATTAAATATTTAAAATAAATGTTTAATTTGAGTGTTATTATATTACGCCATGGCGAATTCATTTTCTTCTGCTTCCAATTCACACTCATGTTTGATACCAATACGTTTATCTTCTTTAGTCATCACAAAATAATCAAAATTTAATAATTTCAATAAAATGACATTTATTTCACTTTATTTTATTATACTACAGCCTACTTAATCAATAAATAATTATTTATGTGTTATTTAGTCATTTTTGGTTATTTTTTTGGCCGCCATGTTTGTTGTGCATTGCAAGCACCAACAACATCGTATAATTATAGCTGACAATCTTTTCAATGATCAGTGAATTATTGACGCGTGCTGTTTGCCAGGATATGGCTTCGCTACTCCTGTTGGGACCCATTCTCGCACTTCCGTTGGTCCCCAGACATGTTTCCATACCGGAACATAAATCTAAAATCATAAAATAATATAAATTAAAAGAATATTCAACAAAAAACATATAATTCTAGTTATTTTGAACTTTTAATGTATGCAACCTAACATACACTTAACCTTTACCTTTTTGATCGTCCAGTCTTTCACCCAGTACGCTTTCCATTCTCTACGCGTCTTCCAGAAGCCACCAGGACTCGGTGTTTCTTTTATAGGTAATATTGTTTCACTATAACTAATAATACAATGTTTAATAATGTTTTTGTTTAAATATATTAATAAGTACCTTCTTTTTGAAATAGGTTTCGATGTTGTAAATGTCACTTCACTTGCGCACGCGTCGATCAACCCACACAAAATGACTGCTGCTAGCACGCAGAACGCTATCGACGTTGATGATAACTGTGGATGACACAAGGCAAAAGTGCTACAAATTTTAATTAGCAATCAAGTGACCTATTTACATCGATTCCACACCGTTAGATGTTTAATCTGCTTGCGCTCGCAAAAGAAAGTAAGTAAGTTGTAAAAATATTGATGATATTGATTACATTAACAGTTAGCTTGAAGCCATCGATGTCAAAGCGTGGTTTGTGAGTGAAGATGCGACGCGATCGGTTTATATATACTTTTATAAACATTTAAACTATTTGATCATATAATATTAACAACTTCCGTGTTTGTATTCGAGTGATATTTTTGATTAAAGTGGATTTACATAACTTACGGTAAGTTTTGAGAAATTTATCTTCATTTTTGGTTATGATTTGTTTTGTTTGGTTGTTGATGATGTACTGATTTTGTTTGTTGATAGGAAACGCTTTTATAGGAGGTTTTTGTGGGTGAAGACACGTCTGGAATAATTTTGGCAGATTTTACTTTTCATGGTCATTGTCTATGCCAAACAGCGAATTGTCAGAGTAAAAGTTTTTGGAGAACATGTGCAGCATTGCAAATAAATGCGGTGTTTGTTGATTTAGTTGCTAATATTTCACGATAAACAAATTAATTTATTAATTAAGTGTTGATTCATAAATATTAAGGTAGAAAAGGCTTAGATTTAATAAATTAATTGAATTTTATCAAATTTCTTAAGGTAGGCAACCAAATATGCAAGTAATTTTAACCAACACACTTTCTCAGATGAAACACATCAATATTTACCTCAAAATATCTTTAAAACTATTCTCGAGCATCGATAACTTATTATTAAAGTCTTTTCAACATGTTAAAACAAGGTGAAGTTGATGAATGCAGCAATCCATCGACTATTCTGCTACTAACTATGAGTATAGTTGTGTATAGGTAATACATAATACATAGTTGGTTGCATACCATGAGTTTCTAATCCCAATCTATAAGTCACGTTCTTTTCGCTTCACATTTCACTTGTGTTTGACTGTTTGCTTTTGAGTTTGATTTCGATTTCAATTAAGTACGCATAGAAGTTATTCCGAATGCAGTGACGGCGTAGGATCACTTTCGCGCTAATAAATGGTTTCACTCTCTAATACTACAATAAAGAAAATTAGGCGTGTATTTTGGGTGCAGGTAATTTAATTTAAATATAAGTTCCAAAATCAAAATTAACTCTAATTATAAATTGCAAAATATATAAAATACCGGTATTAATATCGGTATACCGGTAATTTTTCTTTCAAATATCGAAATTTTGCTTGTGATATATACCGGTATACTGATATCTCAATAGCAATATCAATAAACCGATGAGTTAAAAACAAATGTGGTAATTGTGAAATCTTCCTAAATCTGCGACACAGCAGTCACTTTAAACTTTAAAGACCAACAAAAAGGTTCAACTTGGGTAGTTTCAGAAATAATGTTTTCTATTGGGCTAAACATTCATCAAATTCGAAAATATCCAATAAATACTTCGACACTGACAATTAACATTGTAAGATTGACTCATTCACCAATTTCAGAATTAATCTGCAATTAATCAATTATCTTTCCATGTTTTTAGTTAGCACTAGCTTTAACCCGCGGCTTTGCTCACGAATATCTAAAATAATGAAGTTGCTTCCGTACGCGTCTGTAGTCACAAAAGAAGTAACAATGAAGTAGAATGGCGGGAAGTTTAAAATGGCTGAAAGTATAGTCTATGGAAGTATAGTGTACAGTCTCCATAGTGTAGTCAATTGGATTTGATGTTGACGTAGCTGTCGGTAATACAGTGTGATAATACAGTGTGATGGTACTATAGTACTTAGGTTTGAGCTTCATTGCTGGAATGCTAGATGGCGTTAAAGTAGTCAAATAGCCAGATGCAGAGGTATTATTGGCTAAACTATTTCTTTATTTTATTTAAAAAATAATTTTTTTTATTAAATAAAAAGTAGCCTATAACCATTCAGGGACTACTAAGAGTATGTGTACAAATTTTCATGATGATCGGTTCAGTAGTTTTTGCGTGAAAGTGTAACAAACATCAGGACTTACGCATTTATAATATTAGTAGGCATACTTACAAAATTCATAATATTCCAAATTTATTTATTAAATTATTTTATAAATACCGGTATTACCGGTATACTGATATTTCCACTTTAAAAAAATACCGGTATTAAACTCCAAATACATTTTATGAGTCATAAAACAACAATAAAAACAAAAAAACCAAATATAAATATAAACACGTAATAAGAAAAAAACCCACTCAAGTTTTGCAAATCGCCCAACATCCGTGATCTCCATGAAACAATTTCTCTTTCGTTAGGTAATAACCTATGCAAAATGACATCACTTACCAATCCCTCATGTCACCTATTACAACTAATCACAACCGGCGAAAGTTCCACGCTCCGCAATTTACTCGTACATTAAAACAATCTTGCAATAATAATTACAATTTTTCTACAACCAGCGATTGATTCCACCGCCGCGGAAAATCGTGTCAAACACGCATTAACATGTTTAATTGCGTGTATACAGCAGTGTACAGCAGTCTCTGTTTGTTTACCCAACGCACTCGCCTGTCTTCACTGATTAGCGCCGTTTGCTATAGAAATTATCAGTTGTGCTGGTACGACGCGCACGCGGTAATTACTTTCTCCTCGCTTACGTTCACAATCAGCTCAACTGACCGCCGCACGACCCAAATAACAACAATACATCATATAATAATAATAAACATTTTATTATTTTCATCCTTTCGTCTTATAAATACGCGCCGTTTTAAAAACATAACAACAAATCGCTAAAATTACAAGTAACAAGTAGTAACACACATACACATGCACAACGTTCAGTCGTTAAATTAACTAGATAATAATAATTGTTATTGTAAAACTTATTGGTTGATTCTATGATGTGGGAAACTGCCATGTGGATTTCAACTGCGCATGCGCGCCGCCATTCTGCGTTTGTACTGATTCCTGCGCGTTGCGCTTGGCGATCTCATTGGAGGGCACCGTGACTAGTGGCGCATTCGCCGAACTCTGCGCGCTCCGGTCCCATCCATGCTCCTTATGATGATGATCATGATGATCTGGTGATGGGAACCATTCCTGGATAATCACAGGTTTCCATATTTCTTTCCACCCAGGTACCCAGATCTCTTTCCAATCCGGTACCCAGATTTGTTTCCATGCATCTTTCCATTCTAGTTTTTTATCCGTTACCCAGATTTGTTTCTTTTCCGTACGCCATGTTTGCTTCCAGGCTTCTTTCCATTCCAGTTTCTTATCCGGGACCCAGATTTGTTTCTTTTCTAGCTTCCAGGTTTGTTTCCATGCTTCTTTCCAGACGAGTTTCTTGTCATCCACCCAGATTTGTTTCTTCTCCGTACGCCAGACTTGCTTCCATGCCTCTTTCCATTCCAGTTTTTTATCCGGGACCCAGATTTGTTTCTTCGCTGGTTTCCAGTACTTTTTCCACACGGGTTTCCAGATGAGTTTCTTCTTCCAGACGTCATGTGCTGTGTATTCATTACCATGATGATCTTTTCCGAGGAAGTGTTCGCCGGGGATTCCTACTTTGACCCATTCTGGTTTCCAGAGTTTTTTCCATGCGGGGACTTGGATTTCTTTCCATGCGGGGACTTGGATTTCCTTCCAGACTGGTTTCCAGACTTTTTTCCAATCAGGGACTTGGATTTCTTTCCATGCTGGGACCTGGATGGGCTTCCAGACTGGTTTCCAGACCTTTTTCCAATCAGGGACTTTGTATTCTTTCCATGCGGGGACTTGAATCTGCTTCCAGACGGGTTTCCAGACTTTTTTCCAATCGGGGACTTGGTATTCTTTCCAGGCGGGAACCTGGATGGGGACCCAGATGGGTTTACTGTACTTTTTCCAAGATGGCTTCCAGATCTGCTTCTTTGCGGGTTTCCAAATCTTTTTCCAGCCTTTCTTCCATGTTACTTTCTTCTTCCAGTATCCTGGGTCGTGATGCTCGTGGTGATCATGATGGTCATGATGGTCATGGGTCTCAACCTCATGATGGTCATCATGATGTTGTTCCGGCTGATCAAAAACGTGCTGAGTTTCTACCTGTGGTGTATAATCATAACCAACACGTTTTTGTGCTCCACTATAACCAAAAAATCAAACCACAAAAGAAAATATTATCAATTTCTTGTGATTTTTTATAAATAAACTTACTTATTAACTGTTACAGGTTGAAACTTTGACTTGGCAGGTTCCACAGCTTTGCTATGCGAGAATACAACTTGTAGAAGCACTCCAAGCGCAATCTGCAACTGAAAACGCAGGTTAAAGCCACGCGTAACATATGCAACCCAAATAACTTCATGTAACCTCATTAGCGCGTATATAAATATTATAATTATCAATTAAAACGAGATATTCATGCGTAAACTCACGAATACAAAGCGTAAGTAAAAGAAAAAAAGAAATATCGCATCTTATTGTGAAAACTTTCACCGAAAATCAAAATCAGGTCATATTTCTAAGTTGGAATCTAATTCAAAGTCAAAGTGAATGTGATTTGATGCACAAAACTAATTCGAATTTAATTTGATGTTAGTCCCGTGTGTTATAAACCACAATATACAACAATCACACATTAATTTAATGTTTCATATTTTAATTTTGTTTTAGTTTGTTTTAGTTTGGTTATGATTATCACTTTTCTTTGTTTGTTTATTAAATTAAAATTATTGCACTAACCACAAGGCGCCCGTGGACCTTCATGATTGTCGGCGCCACGAGGGACCAGGAGGATTCGCTCGCGGTGCTCTTCGCAGGCCGGTGAAAAACGCGTTAACTCGTCGTGAGCAGCGGCGAGGACGCTTTTTAAACATCGCACACCATGCGCCTACCATGCGCGAAGAATGGCGATGGTGGAACGCGTAACTCTTGGTGATCCTTGCGTAAGGTAGGGGATATATTGAACTTTCCCTCGTGTTGAAGTCGATGGCGATGGCGATGGCGACGGCGACGTGCACCCTGAGGAAACGAAATGTTATGGTCATCAAGGCCTTGGTCACCAGTGGAATATTAGATTTATGTTTTAGGATTTGTTTAGGTTGAATAGAAAGAGAGAAATGTGGAAATTTCACATTGCAAAATTTTTGTGTGGTGTTACGTGGGGGGAATTCCAGTATTAGTGTGATGTGTGTTTGGAGTTGAGTTTTGAAATTTTAGACTATATTTATGATATTGTGCATGTTTTTTGTTTTGGTTTAGTAGGAAAATTGACTGCAAATGAGATTTTGATGGCGTTTTAATATAATTTCGTGTTTTTTTTTCTTTTTCTTAAAAGTAAGATAAAATAGTAAAATTTTATGAATTATTTACATAGTTTACGCATTATAATTCATAATTCATGGAGTTTTAACAACAAGTGTATGTTTGTAACGCATTCACATAAAAACCACTCAATTAATTTTGATAAATTTTAGCTTGGAGATATTTTGGACCTAGGAGAATAACATAGGCTACTGCATGTCGCAAAAATATAACTTACAGGGTGTGCAAAATAGTTTGCAAGTTTGTGCAACAAAAAAGATAAATGACGCTGACGCATGCAAAAAAATGTGATGAAAATGCCTATTGAAGATGACCGCCGGTATTTACGTATTGAATATTACACATTAAAATAAAGAAAACCATGCTTCTTCCAGGACCAACTATATGTAACCTGGTCGCGTGTGTCCAATGCACAAAATCTGCACGTATTTGCACCGAGCGGAAGAACATATAATATAGTATACAATAACATCCTAGAATATGCTTCTGTTTAGAGGTCTAATTGCAATTTATTTTAATGTATCAATGTTTATCAAATTTTGTACAAATTTAAATATCACAGTTTTTAAACTCAGGAGATCGAAGTCAAGCCATAACGCAGGCAAAACAAAGAAAAAGTTAGTTATTGATAAAGTTTTAACAAAAAAATGAAGATTTTTTATTTATTTTCTTTGAATTAAAATTTATTTCTCTAAATATTCGATTATTTATTGCAAATTAATATTTTTTCACAATTCAACTTAAAAATTGTATGTTTTTCTATTTAAATCGATAAAAGTTTAACAAAAATTCAGTTTTTCACAAATTTTCTTTAAATTGGCATTAGTTTCTACAAATATTCAATTATTTATTGCTAATTATCATTTTTTTACACCACAATTCAACAATTTAATTTTCTTATCATATATTTTCCATTTTTCTCCTTTAATTTATCAAATTTTAACAAAAACTATAAAATTTTCACAAATTTTCTTTAAATTAAAATTAATTCCGGTAAATACCCAATTATTCATTGCTAATTGACATTTCTGCACAACTCAATTTAATACCATAATCCTCATAAAATTTCTTTTCTGTTTTTGCAAGCAGCAAACAATACACAATTAAAAATTTAACACGTCGAAATAATTTAATGAAACCATTTTCGCCTCGTTGAAAAAAAAAACACAAACCTCATCAACGAAAAAAACAACATTAATTACACGTATTTACTACGCGCAGTGCTTTGATGCACCGCTCCACTCCGTCTTGGCAAAAAAATAATTGTGTTTTCGCGCCGTTCGTGCCCGACTGTTTACATTAACTTAATAAACGCCTGCAATCGCTCAAAGTGTGTTCCGCGCTACGTGCGCGTAGGTAATTCATGCGTGTAATTAATTAGCATGCGAGTCTACACCGATTTCATTGTGCACGCATAATTTTCACAAGCGGCTCGCTTACCCATTGTCATTATTCGATATCTATTATTATTAGCGGCGCGTATAATAGCGCGGCGCGTGTTATTTAACTTGATTTTTCGTAATTTTATTTCTCAACCATTTAATATTGCTTAATTTGCTTCCGAGTGGTTTAATATTTAAATCGGCATCATGTTTAACCATCAGGAAATCACAGGAAGTAAATTATGAAGTAATTCAATAAAAACAAAGATTATTGATTGATTTATGTGGAAATGGAACGAAAAACGTTTTTGTTGGTTAAGAAATCGCGTGGAATTCAAAGAAAATTATTGAAAGTTGTTTAAATCAACATTCCTACTCAATAAAATAAATATTTACTGATATTTTATGATTTAACTCTATAAAAATACAAATATATGTATATTGGGTTGCATATGCAACAAAAAATTATTTTTTTCTTTCTACGTTAGCAAAACTAATATTTGCGCATAAAATAAACAAATTAATGTGTAATATTGATTGGCTGATTAGTGCTAATTGCAATTACCAATTTCCGCGTTCAATTTAAACCGTTTTTCTGAATTAACGAGAAAGTTGCGTTGCATTTCTTGAAAAAAATCAATGAAATATAATAGATGAATGCGGGTTTCTTTGAAAAATTAAACAAGTTCCTTGTTTTGCATTCGGAAAAGTTTCCGTCGCAAACAAAAATCTTGTCCGTACGCGTGAAATTTCTATTTTGCGCCGCAACATCTTCGATTACGCGCTCTGTACGCTCACTTTCATTCCGAAACGAGTTCGGAAGCGAACCGACTTGAACTTGTGTCTTGCGCGCGCGCTTTTTATACTTTTACTTATTATAAACACTTGGACATTGCACTTGAAGTTGCTCTTGCTCTTGGTCCATGATCTTGTAAAATTCCTGCACGTTCCAAACTACAATTACTAAATTAATTAGTAAAAAATGTATTAAAGGTTATAAAAACGTTAATGTAGGCAACACACAATGCATTAAAACATGTCAAAATTTTTATCTATTGTTTTTCTTTTGAATTTTTTTGCATATCCGGTTTATTATTATATATTTTATATGTGTATGAGTAAAATATAATAAAATGAACATTTGCGGCAAGTTCAATAACGCTGACACTCGAGTTTATCGTAATTACCACGCGTAGAAGACAATTTAAACACTTCCGCGCACTCAACATGCGGATTTGAACATTCGAACAAAACAAGAAACATGCAAAGAAACATTTGTTTTATTTTGTCATAAACGCAAAGAATAGATATCAGCGTGTGTCGTTATTGACTGAAAGTGAAATTTATTAAACGTAAACAGCGTGAAACTCAGTGGGTATGCGCGCGCGTTGTTTTTTCGTTGTTGCCTTTGCATTATTCGTCAATTTCACCCGAAATTGATTTACAAAATGAGTAATATAATATAATAAGCGGTAAAGACGTCAGGAAGAGAGGTTGTGTAATGCGTTCAGTGCAGATAAATTTCTAATTTCGCCAGTTTGCGGTTTCGATGGTCATGAAAGGTGTATTTAACACAAACAATCAAAAATGGGAAAAAAACGTACGAAAAGTTTAACTGTACACTTTGCATGGATGGATAAATCAATATTTAGACTTAAATATCGTTTTCAAGGTTTTTTCAACGGGCAATTATTGTTTAATTAATGGATTTTTGTTAGTTTTTGTAGATACTTTCATTTTTAACGATATTATTGATCAAAAATATATTTTGCTTGACTGGAATCACCTGTATTTAAAAATTTAATATTTAATTAGTGACAAATTTGAAAAACATTGATACATTCAAATAAATCGCAATTAGAGCTCAAAACAGAAGCATATTCTTGGATGATACTATATACTATATTATATGTTCTTCCGTTCGGTGCAAATACGTGCAGATTTCGGGCATTGGACACACGCGAATAGGCTACATATAGTTGGTCCTGGAAGAAGCATGGCTTTTCTTTATTTTATATGTGTAATATTCAATACGTAAATACCGGCCAGCATCTTCAATAGGCATTTTCATCACATTTTTTGCATGTGTCAGCGTCATTTATCTTTTTCGTTGCACAATCTTACAAACTATTTTGCACACCCTGTAAGTTATATTTTTGCGGCATGCAGTAGCCTATGTTATTCTCCTAGGTCCAAAATATCTCCAAACAAAATTTTATCAAAATTGGTTGAATGGTTTCTGTGTAAATGCGTTACAAACATACAAACAAACAAAATTACATTAGCATTTATCATATTTGCTAAAATTTAGGATAAAATCAATAAAATATTTAAAATTAAGATTATTTTATAATAAAATAATGATAAATAGTTGAGTTACAACTTTATAAACCTGAACTACTTTTTTAACTTATAATTTCATATAATTAATGATGAAAATAAAGAAAATCCACAAACGCATCGTGTGGAAATGTTGATTTATTACCTCATTGACAGCTTCATTAATAACTGCATAAACCGCATAAAATCCATAAAGATTAAAAGATTATTACTTAAACAAACGCATAATTATTATTCTTTCTTCGTCTTTCTCTATTTAACACTTTTAAACAAACAAATAACGCCGTACAACGTGGTTATTTACCAACGTACTCGTAAAACAACCAACAACTAATTTGAGACATCGTGTTATTAATTTGTAATATCCTCAAATGATTTGTTTAGAAATGTTGTAATTAACAACATTAACAACTAAATTCTGTCATTTACCATTTAGGAATAATGATGATAATCATTTCAACATTAATTGTAATGAGATTGACTTTTATCGGCCAGGAATGCGCGGAGAAATGCAGAAAATAAGAATTGAAGAAAATTTATTGAGCGTTGCATGCAACTCATTCGTTTTAATTATTGCGTTGAGTTGAATTTAATCAGAATCAGATTATATTGTAAATGATACAATTTTTTACCTTTAAATAAACAAATAAATAAATGCATTTATGTTTTTACTGCTTTTTGAACATCTCTGGAATGTAGAATGTAAGTTTTGCGATTAAAAACACATTTGATTTCTACTTTTATCATTAATTTACTTTCGTAAAAGAAATCTCGTTTTAT